AAATGCTTAACTGACTGCGCCATCCAGGTGCCCCCTTTTTCCTTTTTTAAAACTGACTTTACTGAGGTATAATTCACACACACAAATGCACGCTTTTTAAGAGTTCAGTTGGATGAGTTTTGGCAAATGTATACATCCATGTCATCACCATAATCAAGATGAAGAATATTTCCATCATCCTAAAAAGTTCCCTTGTTCCCTTTTACAGTCAGTCTCCATCCCTTGACCCCCACCAGAGTAAGGAACTCACTGGAATTTGGGGAATCACTATTTTTAATGTAGAATTAATAGCTGTAAGGACTTGTATTTGTCCTGCCAACAGAGAGCCACAGCCACATGTGGCTACTTAAATTTAATTAAAATTAAATAAAGTTAGGGGTGCCTGGGTGTCTCAGTGGGTTAAGCCTCTGCCTTCGGCTGAGGTCATGATCTCAGAGTCCTGGGATCAAGCCCGAATCAGGCTCTCTGCTCAGCAGGGAGTCTGGTTTCCCCCTCTCTCTCTGCCTGCCTCTCTGTCTACTTGTGATCTCTGTCAAATAAATAAATAAAAGCTTTTAAAAAATTAAATGAAGTTAACAATCAGTTCCTAAGTTGCACTAGCCACATTTCAAGTACCTAATAGCCACATGTGGCTAGTGGTTGCCATATTGGACAGGACAGACATAGGACTTTTCCATCACTGCAAGTAGTACTGTTTGGCAATGTAGAGATGTGACCGGGTAGAATTTGACCTTTACCATATGAATGTAGGCTCAGCAGCCTACCTTAACTGACTGAGCCTCCCAGGCACCCCTCTCTGCAACTCTTGTTCACAAAGTCCTCCTGCCCTTTAAAATACCTTTTTCATGAGCCTTTTGAGACTTGCTCCTCTCTGTCCCCAGTTGCTGTCTGATACAGAAAACGCAAATGCTTTCTAGAGCCAGGCAAGTAATATGTCTCAAGGGGACCTGGTATATGATGTTAGAGTAAAGTGCTGGCCACTGTGCAAAGATGTTCACATTAAAAAAAAAAAAAAAGTTAAACTGCTACTGGCCAAACAAAAAACACATGTAAGCCAAGTTTGGCCACTGGCCACCAGTTTGCACTCACTTCTTGACTAATTCTCTCTCAAATCACAAAGCAGCTGTGATGCAGTGGAAAGAGTGAGTAAACATGGAAGAAAACCTTCACTGGAAGCCCAGCTCTGCTACTTGCTAGCTGGGTGGTAATAATGATGATAATAATAATGTTAACCTTCCGGAGTTAAATCTTCTCATCTGTATAATAAAAACAATACTACCTATGTCACAGGATTTTTTTTTTCCTTAAAGATTTTGTTTATTCATTTGAAAGAGAGAGAGAGAAAGAGAGGGAGAGTGAGCATGAGCGAGCACAAGCAGGGGGAGTGGCAGAGGGAGGAGAAGCAGGCTCCCCACTGAGCAGGGAGCCCCACACGGGGTTCCACTGATGCAGGGCTAGATCCCAGAACCCTGGGATTATGACCTGAGCTGAAGGCAGATGCTTAACTGACTAAGCCACCCAGAAACCCCTCACAGGATTGTTTTAAAGATTAAGATAATATTCTTAAAAACACCCACCCTACAATAAGCCCTCAATAAAATTTTCATAGCATCTGTGAAATTTATTTTCTTGTTATTGTTTTGATCAATTATATGTTTTATTCTACCTGTATTAATGAACAATTTGGTTGTGCCTATTTCTTCTGTTAGACTCTGAGTTCCTTTGGGTCAGGGATGACCTCTGTGTCCCTTTGAGCTCCTATAATACCTATTCCAGTAATTAAGTCCATGTCCACCCTGAGATTCAACAAAAGCTTGTGACTCAAAGTCTGACTGGGAGATAAATCTGGAAGAATATAGTCAACTCTTAGTACAAATGTATATTTCATATAAGAAAGCATGTGGCTAGGGCACCTGGGTGGTTCAGCTGGTTAAGCATCTGCCTTTGGCTCAGGGTATGCTTCAGGGGTCCTGGGATTGAGCCCAGCATCAAGGATCCCTGCTCAGTGGGCAGACTGTTTCTTCCTCTCCCTGTCCCCCTCCTTCCTCTTGTGCTCTCTGTAATAAATAAAATAATCTAAAAAAAAAAAAAAAAAAAGTATGTGGCTGACTTTTAACAATCCCCAAAGTTATGATTCCTTTCCTTTTCCAATATAAAAGAGAAAAAACGATGGTTGTTCTCTTAAGTGGATGCCTCTTGCTTTTGCCTTTACTAGGTATGCTAACAGCAATACAGGAATTTTAGAAGCGTCCTACTAGAAATTTATAGGGCGGGTAGGGAAAGGGTTTCGGTTTTAACTACATTTTGGCAATTCAGGTAGAAGTGATGCTGGAATAAAAGTGGTAGAAGAGGTATGTATCAGAGCAGCTAACAGGGACTCCGCTCATTTCCCCATCTGGAATACTGAGACAAGAACAAGAACTATTAAGAATCTCATAAAGTTCTTGTGAAAGTTATTAGACAATTAAGGTCATGGAATTTGGGAAGAAGAGGAAGGAAGCATGTGTATCTCACATAAGCAGGTTAGTTTTCTGCACTTCTATGGCTTTGTAAGAAACAGCATGTCATATTTTGTCCTAACAAAATTTTCTTACTTTACAGGTACCCATGCCTTCTAAATGCCTATAAAAGATTAATTCACATATTGAACTTGGTGTGGTTAGTACCATTGCCCCTTGGGATGCCTGGGTGGCTCGATTGGTTAAGTGTCTGCCTTCACTTTGGGTCATGATCCCGGGGTCCAGGGATCAAGTCCCACGTCGTGCTCCTTGCTCGGCGGGGAGCCTGCTTCTACCTTTGCCTGCTGCTCCCGCTACTTGTGCTCTTTCTGACAAATAAACTATTTTTAAAAAAACCATCATTGCCCCTTTGAGAGCTTTCTTCTTTCTGAACTTTGCATCTACAGACTTGTTAAATAAGTGATTTGTAGGTTAAATGACCTAATTTAACTCCAGAATTGATTGAAAACTTAACTCCCCCCTTCCCCCTACTGTGCTTTATGCCAGGGTATTTTGTTTTTTCCTCTCAAAAGAATCATTCTTAAAACTAGTAGAACTACAGTAACAAATGAGCTTAAATGTCAGATTTAGTTTGGGAAGAATGTTTCTAACTAATCAAGGTTTCATATGGGGACAATGGATTAGTCAAATGGATAGTGCTTGACAAGCCAGAGCAAGGCCACCCATTTCTTCAGTAGGGTTTTGCCAAGTATGATTTTGTCAAGTATGATTCAGAATGACACATTCAGATGCAATTTGAAAAAATCTATTTCACTGTTTAAATGTATTATCAGTATGGAAAATCTGCCTTGGTGATGTCAAGACATAAAAGTGCATGCCAGTGTGCACACTACCTTTATCTTTCATTTGCTCTGAAGCTTTCACAATTCAATTCTTTGGATTCTGTATGAGGAGAATAAAATTTCACTGCAGGTGTAACTTCTCAGTAACAGTAAACAATGATTTCCACTTAATGGGCACATTTAATTTCTCAACTTATAAACAATAAAAAATCAGTCCCAAGATCACCAAACTGTTGTCAGAATGGAAATAAACAACTTTTCCTGCATGAATTAAGAAAAACTTTATTGAAAATTATCCCTTTTACGTAACATTACCTATCTTGTATGAAGGTAACATCATTTTTTGCATGGACCAGGAAGAATTGGGTGAGAAAAAAACACTTGAAGAATTTCTCTTTCAAACATGTTTCTTTGGAAGAAAACTGTAGACAATAATTAGGGTGAAAGTCAGCACTAATACTCTTTAGGAGTGTCTTACAGATGGTTCATTTCAAAGCATCAAATTCTACTTACTCAAAAAACCTATAAGGTAAACAATTCTCTTGGCAGGGGCAGAAGACTCAAATGACCTCATGGACTGCACTGATGTATCTGTTTTGTGCCAAATGTTTCAGAAATTCTGAGACAGTTCACTTATCTAAGGTTTCAGAAAGCAAGAATTTCCAGAATAAGTGAAAGGGGCTGACTGTACAATAATAATTAAAACAATACTAGCTTTCAATTAACGTATCAATGTGTTTTGCATGAAGAGGCAGTCTCAAAGCACACAATTAAATAAAGCTGTGCTGCCTTCTTAAGGGTAAACATCTTTACCACTCCTTGAGTCACTAAGAGACTCAGAGGCTTAACAAAAGGTCTGGGTTTAACAGCTCTTTTCTTTTGTAGAAATTAGTGTAAAAAGCACTCTGCATCAGAGATACACTAGTGATTTGACCTTGGACAAGTCAGTCACTTAACTCCTACTCTGTTTCCACAACTGTAAATGGAGTCAACAATACCTGGTAACATATTACAGGACTAGTGGGAGGATGAGATGATATATGTGAACACATTATGTAAACTATAAAGCAATAGTAATGGGAAATTAGTTATTTTATATAAAACTGGCCTAACCTTTCCTGCCTATATCCCTGTCTGCAAAATGGGTACAGATGTAGATCTGAATGCCTAACAGTCACTTACTGGCTGTGTGAACCTGAGGAATTCATTTTCTTTCCGGACGTAGATTCTAACAAGGTTATTACGAAGATCAAATTATATCGTGTATGTAAAGGCTGCGACAAGAATATACTAGAACTTAGTAAATGATAGCTGTTATAACTCTCTGAGGAGAGGGCCGTAAGTAGCAAATTATATCTAGTTAAAAGGCTCTGTATGTATATACGACTCTATACGCATCCAAGGTATTGTTATTTGTACTGTAAACTTTAAAGATGTACACGGAACTAGGAAACAAATGGCGCCTCAGTGACCCTCAGTAGAGAGGGGAAAAAGGGCAGAAAGGGGGACTTAGGCACCTCAGTGGTTTGGAATAGCAGCAGGAATGAGAACATAGAAGTGTGGCAGAAAAAAAAGACCTTAAGACATACTCTGAGAATTTATTGTCTTCCCCCTTTTTCTTTTACGACCTCCAGTCTAGATTAGATCATTTCATTCAATTTACCAGCCCGCCATATCGCTGGACATTTATGTACTGTACCTTCTTTACTGAGAGCCTTTCATTCCCCTCCCCTTCTATGAGTCGAGAACTTCAGACCCTCGGCTTCCGACACCCATTCCCTTTAATTCTGTTTTTACCAAGCTTCCCTGTATCCACCTCTCCGCGGAAGGGGGAAGTGAGTCTGAACGCACCGCAGGGCATCCTAGGAAATGTGGTCTCTCATTCTCTTTTGCTTGCGTCCCAGAAGTGGAAAGTCGACAAAGGCGATCCAGTTAAAACTACAACTCCCGGCAGCCAACATGAATGACACTCTTCCTTTCTGCCCCCCTTCCTACTGCCTTCCTCTTCCTCCTCTCCGCGGGAGCTGAACCGCTTGGCCTCACGGTATTTGTAGTTCTTTCTGGATCCAAGATCCTAGCACTCAACGACCCGGACAGAGGCTGCAAGACTCTAATTCCCAGAGGGCAGAGCGGTAGCTGCGCCTGCGCACTCTCAGTGAGGGCGTGTATGTCTGTGTATCTGAGGGAGAGAGAGAGCGAGAGTGAGTGAGTGTGAGTGCTGGGTAGGGTGGTGGCCGTTACGTTCGGGGCAACGGCTACGGCAGTGGAGAAGTAAGAAGAGAAACAACGTCCGGCGCTTCCGCCTTCGCTTAGGAGGAGGAGGAGCTGGTAGGGAAAGGAAAGTGATTCGCCCTGGGCCTGAACTGGACAGAGTCGGGCTGGTGGGGGGTCTGGGCTATGAGCCTTTGAGGGTCGCTTGGGACGCGGAGCGAGACACGAGAGCCGAGAGGTATGTCTCAGCCGCCGCCGCCGCCGCCGCTGCCGCCTCCACCTCCTCCCCCTGAGGCTCCGCAGACTCCGCCGTCCCTGGCGGCGGCGGCTCCTCCGGGGGGGCTCTCGAAACGGAGAGACCGGAGAATCCTCTCCGGGAGCTGCCCGGATCCGAAGTGCCAGGCGCGTCTGTTCTTCCCGGCCTCCGGTTCTGTCAGCATCGAGTGTACCGAGTGCGGACAGCGGCACGAGCAGCAACAGCTGCTGGGGGTGGAGGAGGTGACCGACCCGGACGTAGTGCTACACAACCTGCTGCGGAACGCGCTGCTCGGGGTGACAGGGGCACCCAAGAAGAACACGGAACTGGTAAAGGTGATGGGCCTTTCTAACTACCACTGCAAATTGTTGTCGCCCATATTAGCTCGCTATGGAATGGATAAACAGACAGGCAGGGCTAAGCTTCTCCGGGACATGAACCAGGGTGAACTGTTCGATTGCGCTTTACTCGGTGACCGCGCCTTCCTCATCGAACCTGAGCACGTTAACACGGTGGGCTACGGCAAGGACCGCTCCGGAAGCCTCCTGTATTTGCATGACACTCTCGAGGACATCAAGCGGGCCAATAAAAGCCAGGAATGCCTCATTCCAGTTCACGTGGATGGGGATGGACACTGCTTGGTGCATGCTGTGTCCCGGGCTTTAGTAGGCCGGGAGCTCTTCTGGCACGCCTTGAGAGAGAATCTTAAACAACACTTTCAGCAGCACCTGGCCCAGTATCAAGCCCTGTTCCATGACTTCATTGATGCCGCTGAATGGGAGGACATTATCAATGAGTGTGACCCTCTGTTTGTACCACCTGAAGGTGTTCCCTTAGGCTTGAGGAACATCCACATATTTGGCCTTGCCAATGTATTACATCGCCCTATTATTCTGCTAGATTCTCTCAGTGGCATGAGAAGCTCTGGTGATTATTCAGCCACCTTTCTGCCTGGGCTCATCCCTGCAGAGAAGTGCACAGGGAGAGATGGTCATTTGAACAAACCAATCTGTATTGCATGGAGTAGCTCTGGTAGAAACCATTATATCCCCTTGGTAGGCATAAAAGGGGCTGCTTTGCCCAAATTGCCTATGAATTTGCTGCCTAAAGCTTGGGGTGTGCCTCAGGACCTTATTAAAAAGTACATTAAACTTGAGGAAGATGGTGGTTGTGTTATTGGAGGAGACAGAAGTTTGCAGGATAAGTATTTGCTTAGGCTTGTTGCTGCTATGGAAGAAGTCTTTATGGACAAACATGGTATCCATCCTAGTTTGGTTGCTGATGTCCATCAGTATTTCTACAGGAGGACTGGGGTGATAGGAGTTCAGCCTGAAGAAGTCACAGCAGCTGCTAAAAAAGCAGTAATGGATAATCGCCTTCACAAATGTTTGCTCTGTGGTGCCCTTTCTGAACTTCATGTTCCTCCAGAGTGGTTGGCTCCAGGAGGGAAACTGTATAACCTGGCAAAAAGTACTCATGGACAACTGAGGCCTGACAAAAATTATAGCTTTCCCTTGAACAATTTAGTTTGCTCATATGATTCAGTGAAAGATGTTCTGGTACCAGACTATGGATTGAGTAACCTGACAGCTTGTAATTGGTGCCATGGCACTTCTGTGCGAAGGGTCAGAGGAGATGGGTCTATTGTGTATTTGGATGGGGACAGAACTAATTCTAGGTCCACTGGTGGCAAATGTGGTTGTGGATTCAAACATTTTTGGGATGGTAAAGAGTATGACAATCTACCAGAAGCTTTTCCTATTACTTTGGAATGGGGTGGAAGAGTGGTCAGAGAAACAGTATATTGGTTCCAGTATGAAAGTGATTCATCTTTGAATAGTAATGTTTATGATGTTGCAATGAAACTTGTTACCAAGCACTTTCCAGGTGAATTTGGGAGTGAAATCCTGGTTCAGAAAGTTGTCCATACTATATTGCATCAGACTGCCAAAAAGAATCCTGATGATTATACTCCTGTAAATATAGATGGTGCTCATGCCCAAAGAGTCGGAGATGTACAAGGACAAGAGTCGGAGTCTCAGCTCCCAACTAAAATTATTCTCACTGGACAGAAAACGAAAACTTTGCACAAGGAGGAGTTAAACATGAGTAAAACTGAAAGAACTATTCAACAGAATATTACGGAACAGGCTGCTGTAATGCAGAAACGGAAAACAGAGAAGTTAAAACAAGAACAAAAAGGTCAGCCCAGGACTGTTTCTCCTAGTACCATTCGTGATGGTCCATCTTCTGCACCTGCAACCCCTACCAAGGCTCCCTATTCACCAACGACTTCTAAGGAGAAAAAGATACGAATAACAACTAACGATGGACGACAGTCCATGGTTACACTTAAGTCTTCAACAACCTTTTTTGAGCTTCAAGAAAGCATAGCCAGAGAATTTAACATTCCTCCCTATTTACAGTGTATTCGCTATGGCTTTCCTCCTAAAGAGTTAATGCCACCCCAGGCAGGAATGGAAAAGGAGCCAGTTCCTTTGCAGCATGGTGACAGAATTACAATAGAGATTCTAAAAAGTAAAGCAGAAGGTGGTCAGTCTGCTGCAGCACACTCAGCCCACACTGTGAGACAAGAAGAGATTGCTGTTACTGGTAAACTATCTAAGGAACTTCAGGAGCAAGCTGACAAGGAAATGTACTCCTTGTGTCTTTTAGCAACATTAATGGGTAAGATCATTTTAACCTAGATAGTTATTTCTTAACTGTGAATATAATGCATTGAGTTTTTCTGTTGTCTTTGTGGGAAAAAAAAAATCTAGTCATCAATTGATTATATATAAAGTTTAGGAGGAGATTATTTTCTTCGGTTTTGTTTTGTTTTAACAGTTAATGGATATATGTTAGCATGATTCTCTACTGATTAAATATGTAGGACAACATAACTTAAGAAAGTGAAAGTAGTCCCTTAACTGTCACCAGATTATTTCAATATAATTTATTGTTGTGATTTTTTTTTTTATAGCCTTATAATGTCTCTGTTTAAACCTTTAAAAATATTCCCCCGCCTCCCCGGGCTCTATTGAGCTTACCCACTTTGTCCCTTTTCATTTATTTTTAAAATTTTCTTTTCCTGCATGTCATGTGATTTCAGGACTTCCTGTTTGATGAATTGCAGTTTCTGGTGTTTATATTCTCACTGCACTCCCACCTAATAGTCTCTGTCCTCCATTTCCTGTTCTTCCTTTTCCAGTTCATCACATTTTTATTTGTATGTTAGGATTTGTGTTTAAGTAATTCCTATGCTTACTGACTCTGTGCCATCAATTGTAATGAACTATTATAAACTCATGAGAAATAAAAGAAACAGGTAGATGTTAATAGGGTTGCTTAAGAAGTGTTTCTTTTTAATAATTCAGCATAAATTAAAAATATCAACCAAATATGTTAATTACATGATGATTTTAGATAATTTGGGATATGCTCCAACAGTGCACTTTTAACATGTTTATTTGTTTAATCTTTGTTTTTAAAATCACTCTTAATATGCTTTACTAAGGCTTAAAGTAGATTTAAAATTTATATTACATATTAGAAGAGCCTTATTTTTGCTGAGATTAGAGCTTTTAACTGGAAAAGTGATCTGGGTTTGATTCTGTTTTCTAAGAGTAGTAAATATCAGTGAATTGGGCATTGACCTACCAAAATGAAGATTATTTATTCCTGGTTTGTGAAATTTGGGGGCCTAGAAGTTAATAGGAGATCTAAAAGCTCTGTACACATTTATAACTTGATACTGATATTGCTGATTTTATTTTGGCAGACATAGCCATAGAATTGAGGGATATGTCAAGAAATGTATTAGGCACTGTGTATTTCTCTCTCTTAGTTTCTGGTTTCTTAGACACTTTATGAAATAGAGGAAAGATCGTGTGATCTTTGGAGTCAGAAAGACCTAGAATTTGAATCTTGGCTCCACTACTTAACTTAGTGGTTCAGGCAAGCTACATAACTCCCCAAGACTTTAGTTGCCTCTTCTCTACAAAATACCCTTGTAGTTGGTACCAGGGCAACACTAAAATACTCCTAGAACTCTGAAAATTAAATAACATCGTTAGAGAATGGCTAAAATTAGGTATATGCAGAAGGTACTTTAAAAACTGGCGCTCTCCCAGGTGAAAACAGGAAAGAAAAGGTCTTCCTCAATAGAAGGCAAACTGTTGAGGATGTAGCTCATCTCTTATCTAACCTTGGATGCTCAGTACCTAGTAGAGTACCCAGCAGATTGTAGGCACTTTGAAATGTTTTTGATTGGATTAAATAGATGACATTAACATGTTTAAAGAAAGGCTATGTCAGCA